GGGGCCGCGGGCAGGCGCGGAGCCATGTTGGCCTTGGTGGCGAGGGCTGTGGTAAGTGCCAGCCGCGCTCCGAGAGCGGGGGTGAGAGGCGGGGGGGAACCTCCAGCGGGCCCGGCACGGGGCGGCGGGGGGGGCGTGACATGGCGGCCGTGTCGCGCCACCCGCCCGAGGGGTGACAGCGGGCCGGGAAGGACCGGGCAGGTGGCACAGGGTGTCCGGCCAGTCCCGGGCCTCGACAACAGGCAAGGACCCGGGCCACGGCCCCGCCGGACCGGGTGACACCAGCCGGTTCCGCCGCGGGGGCCTCCAGCAGTTTCGAGGCGTTTAGGAGTGTCAGGGGAAAAGAGGGCTCCGCAAGGCTCCGGCACCGAGGCCCACGCTGTCCCAATCGGTGGCACTGCTGGTGTCAGGGTCCGGCACCGCTCCCCGAACCTGGGGAAGAAGCGTGGCCTCCTTGGCTGGGCCATGGGGGTGGCGATTGAGGCCCCGCTGCCGGCCTGGGTGTCCCTGGGACGAGGACCCCGGGTGCGAGGAGAGATGGAAGGGGCCTGGCCACCGGCGGGGTGCCTGAGAGCACTCCTCATGCCGGGTGGCAGGCAGGGACACTTCTGGAGGTAATCCATCCTCCAGACCCACTCCGTTTCTTCATATGCCTTGAGGCAGCGCTGGGCGATGGAGCATTTCCCAGAGCTGTCAGCCATGGAGGGCTTGGGGCTGGTGGCCATGGCTAGTCAGGGGCAAGAGAAGCCCATGAGGAAGCTATCTGTCACTGCAGGCTTTGCCTTTAAAACACGGCTTTCCCCGCAAGCAGGGGGAAGGCTACACACACGGCAGAGCTGTCAGCCCCACGCCTGGGCTTAGCAACTGTTTATTGGAAACACTGAGGGATCCTGGGGGAGGAGGAGGCAGAGCGGGATGACAGCGGCTACATGGAGGATTCACTCCGAGAGACACTTTCCGGGGGGCCAGGCAGGGCTGGTTGTTTCTGGGATTCAGGGCTTCTCTGGCTTCTGATTTAAAAATAAAAGAAAAAGACAAACCTCCGTCACCTGACACTGTATGTTGTGGCCCTGCTGGGAATCAGACACTGCTCTGAAATTCCTCCTGCCCCCCAGCCCCGGGCCGCAGGTGGATTTCCCACCAGCTTTGCAGGCTCTGGAAAAGGTCATCTGCTGCATTGGAACGTGGCTTGGGAGCACTGCCAGCCTGCGAGCTGGCCGTGTCTGCACGCCCCCCGCTCCGCTGGTGTTCGTTTTCCCTGTTGCTTGTGGGGAAAGGTGGACTGTTTGCTCTATTTGCTGCCAGCTGCCTCCTCTGTTCAGCTGCGATCACTATTCCTCCTCCCACCGAACACTTGAGTTTGACCTCAAACCAAACAAGCAGAGGACATAAAAAGGGAAAGATACAAATCCACGAATTAATTTGGTTTGGGATTTTCCCTGTAACTCCAGGGAAAATCTGAAAAGTGTGTGTTTGGAATCATCGTACTTGATCTTCACTGTGTAGAAGGCTCTGCTTGTCTGCCCCTCAGTTGATGAGACAGACGCAAAGGAGGGGGTGATATTCCTTCTGATTGCACAGTTCTGTTGTTGTCCTCCTTTGAAGATGCTTTTTTTTTTTTTTTTAAGGGTTAATAACCAAGAACTCCCCAAAAGAACTCCCCAAAGTCTCAGCTTGCAATAATGACCACACATGCCTAGGGCGTGGGGGCAGTTAAGACACTGCCTTTAGCCCCAAACTCAATTTCCCCCCATCTCCAACTAATCCTACCACCACCCACAGTGATGGGGGTCACTTGCCTGTTCCTGCTGGAGAGCTGTCCTCATCCACCTTTGCCTGAGCAAAGGGACCAAATTCCCCATCGCCCACATAAGTCCTCCCTGCAGCTTGTCCCATCTGGTGACAGCCCACAGTGTCACCTGCTGCCAGGGTGTAGATTGGGGTTTCTCCTGCCTGATGTTCAGGCTTCTCTTGCAACAGCCACTGTAGTTTCATAGTCCAGGCAAAGGCTGAGGGAACGATGTCCCCAACACCTTCACTTCTGCCATGGCTGGAGGCACAGAGCTGTTAATCCGAGACTCTGCCCACACGGTATTGATCAGCAAGCACCGACTGGGCAACGCAGGGCTGAGGGTCAGTGCCCGTGGGAGGGTTTTCCAGAAAGGCACCTCCATGGCAGTTGATGCAACCGGATGGTCTGATTACTTTGGCCTCTCCTGGGCCTGAGCCTGGCCTTGAGCCCTCTGATCAGAGCAGTCATGTGGCATTTTGCTAATAAGGTGACGCCCTGCATGGGCAGCACATTGTCAGGTGGAAGAGGAAACCGAGACAGGCCGAGGGAGAGGTTTACGGACTTTTCTGTCCTACCAGCCATGGATAGGAAGCAGCAGCAAGCAGAGAAGGTACAGTATGCCCATGCTGCCACGATTAACACCCTTCATTTCTTCCTAGCCCTACTCTCTTTTCATGCTTCAGTAATTCCCCCTTCTCTTATTTTTAACATTTCTTCTCCAAACCTTGATCCCATAGATTTTGCCAGGTCCTCCAAAGAGCAAAGAGCATTTTCTCTGGGGGCTCAGCACCACACAGAGGCTTTGTCACCTTGCGGATTTAGCTGTTTCTTTCTTCTTTTCTGTGCTTAACTCCTGGGAGGAGGCGGGGGGATGGCTATTTTCTCATTGCCTTGGAAATCAAAGGGCATGTTCTCACTGGCTTTGCATTCTCAGTGCACTCAGGATGCAAAGTCCAGAGTCCTGTAGGAGAGTGTCTGATTCAGTAGATCCAACAGAGGAGGGGGGAGCAGAGGGAACTGAAAACTTTTACAGTACGATTTAAACATCTTCAAGCTGAAGGATGTCCAACCTTGTTCACCCAAGAGGATGTTCTTATTCTTTTGGGGCAAAAATTGGCAAGTTCATTTCCTGGTTAGCTGTTGGGTTAGCTCCGTTTTGTTTCTCCACCCAGGGAGATGGCACGGTGCTTTGTAAGGCTTTCACTCCCACATGACCCCATCAGACCCCAGGAGCCTGTTGGCATCACCCACAATTTCCTGAAAAGCTCTCACTGTTCTCTCTCCAAATGCTCCTGTAATTTGGCCAGTCCCATACTGGTACTGCTGGACAGAGGTTCTGTTAATATACCTGGGTTCTCCAGTAACTGGGAGGTTCACCAGCATAAGGGCACATTGCCCCAAGGCCTGCACATCACGGCCAGTTCTGCCCTCACCATCACTGGTGATGCACAATCCCTGGCCCGTCAGAGAAAAGACATTTTAATCCTGCCCCAAACTTACCTAAATTCTGCCTCCTCAAAGGCCAAAGGGTAGTTTTATTTGGCACAAGCGTTCTAATTAACTTTATAGCCTAATGCTGCTGTAAGATGTAACGAAACAGTTTCTGACAGTACATAAGATGAATATTTCTTTCACGACTTGCTTTCTTCCCACTTACCATGGGATGGAAGGGTTTGACTTTGTCAAATGCATGGAAATGCTCAGCTGGAAGGTGCCCAGAGGGTTGGAGATGTATCTTTATCCTGGTGGCATTTCCTCAGCGGGGTGAGAATCGGTATCGGGAGATCAAGTTTCTTTTTTGCAGCTTTTCTGGATGGCCTACAATGGTCTCCAGCGTGCCATCAGTAGACCTGTACCTCACGTTGGCACTTTTGTGTGCCCTCAGAGAGGTTGGGATGGAGACTCAGATCTAGGTTATTTGCTACCTCGTGCGTATCGGGGGGAAGTTTTGTCTCGACATTTGCTCTGTGCTTTGCAGGCCAGGCCCTACGGCCTGCTGAAGCCGACAGCTTTAGGCAAGATCCCAGGCAGATTCCAACTTCATCAGGAAGCGCTGCCCCATCTCCCTGTGCCGCCGCTCCAGCAAACGCTGGACCGCTACCTGCTGGCCCTGCAGCCCATCATCAGCGAGGAGGAGCTGAACCACACGCAGGAGCTGGTGGCTGAGTTCCGCAAACCTGGAGGCGTTGGGGAGAGGCTGCAGAAAGGCCTGGAGAGAAGAGCCAAGAAAATGGAGAACTGGGTAGGTCGGGACTCTGTCCCCAGTTTCTGGTTAGGGTGGGTGGAGGTCTGATGCACACCTCTCAAATGTCCTGGCTGCATCCACTGGTACCTGTGTTTTAATGGCATCACCATAATAACCCACCTTCCTGAGCTCCTTCCCAGGACTTGGGTGAGCAGAGAAATTTATGGCAGAACAGGGAGTTGTTGACCATGTCTGTGGTTGCTGAAGCCTGTTAGCATCACACAACTGCCCCAAGAAGTTGAAGGAAACCCTCTGCTTGAGCCCTGCACCGGGAGCCCCCACTGCCTTGCTCAGATCCCCCTCTACTCATCCATGTGCAAAGCACAAAACCCAAACAGTTTGTTTGCGGAGTGTGGGACAGAGCTGGGGGCAGGATGCTGAGACCGTTAAGCCGGGCTTGGGTCAAAGAGCAGCAGCTGCCATGCCTGCATGTTGCCTTTCTCTGTCCCAGCTCTCAGACTGGTGGCTGAAGACAGCTTACCTGGAGTATCGCCTGCC